CAGCAGTTTACAGTAACTGCAAGTGTTAAATATTGCATTAATAGGCAGATAGTCCACCAATGAGACTACTTTCCCTCTCTGAAATCTATTTCCTGCAGTTTTATCTGCTCCACCTATTTCTCCCAGGGTTCCTTATCATAATTTGAAAAACCTTTTCGTGGACATTTTCCAAGAATGAATCTCTTTTTTAGATTTTACTGGTTTGCAGTAATTACAAGTCATTAAGGTGATACCAGTAGGCTGATAGTCGAACAACGATGCATCCTTCTCGGTTTCCCAATGTCAACAACCCCCATATAGCCTCACCGGCTGTTCTACCCGTTTCGGAATCATCCTGGCCTATTATATGAATCTGCAGGCAGCTATCTCAAGCTTGCTCATGGCCCGTTCACTCTCCGTATGGCCATTCGGGAACTGTGGGAACGAATGCTGATGGGAACGTTTGGCACATTAAGCAGACCTGACCATGCTTTTCAAGTTTTATGGAAATTTGAATAATAATAGCGATCTAAGGCTTCAGAATTGGTCCAAACACACAGAATATTCCTATAAAAGCTGGTAGCCTAACAATTTCGCCCTAAAATCCCCACCCATTACCAGAAATTGTCTGAGGGTATCTTAAGGCTCCACCCATGTGAGGCGGCCAGCCAATTTCCATGTTGTGTGGCTCTTCTGGAATGAGCTGTTTATTTACTGAAGACCGCCTAAACAAGTTGTTTTGATACCCTCTAATATTGATCGTCCTACTACGTCAGGCTTATTCAGAATCTGACGAATGCCCACGCACCGAACCCCAGGGCCACCTCTTCAATAGACATCAGCTTTTTTTGAAGTTTTTTTGATTGAATCTCACAGAAAAGCTTGCTATATTATTGTTCCCAGTCTCTGGAGGCCTTCAGCTGAATCCTGAGTGTTTTCTTACCCTTCTTCGTCTTTTGTGCCTTTTATAAGACCCGATGAAGTTGATCTGATGTCGATTCAAGACCGGTGACGTGTTTCTGGGACGAGGGCGGACGGGCTAACGACCCCTCCCTCTTGTGAAACTCTGCGCAGTCTCTCGGCTGACAGCTCGTCCAACGGGTCTACTTAGTTATTGATCTGATATTATTGATTGAATCGGACATATTTATCGATCGCCTACATCCCGATGGCATTCTTATGAGCGGATTACTAATAAGTTCCAAATTACTATGATTGGGGCCAATTCTGTCTATCACAGGTGATCAGTTCGAACCAGCAGATTTCATTGGAATGTCGAATGGTTCAAATGGTACTGTTGGACCGTTAGTGGAACCATTTCCTCTTCAGAAAACCTTTCCCACGCCCTTCCAAAGGACTTGCTATAAGTTTTATGTAAGTTTTTATTGGGCAACATTTGCTTTTTTATCGTTTCAACCATTTTTGCTGCTTCTTTCTCGCTAGTTCCAATGTTTACTTGTTTACATGCTCTCCGAGTTGCTTATCGATTTCTCAGGCTATTTCTTGAACCAAGATATTTGCTGTTTTGTGTTGAACTCCATCCACTTTCACTGCACGACATTTGCGCCGTCTGACACACTTTTGGCCAGATATGGTCGATTTCTTCTACCTCGTATTCCTTCCTTCTTGGTATTCAAAATGAGTGATAACGAAATAGCTGAAGCGGTAGAATCGGTAGAATTCTCCTGGAACGAGCCATGCATTCGACTCTTTTTCATGACTTAGAAGGCGCCCTTCCGTATGCCTTTGTGAATCAGTGATTTGACTATTGGTATTGAATCATTTTTGTTTATGTGGACGACGAAAAATGTCCATTGAAGCCACGCCCACGTGTTTCCTAGATGAACCGAATACAAAGTAATTAAACTGAGTGGGAGGGAAAGTGTAATTGAAAATCGCGTGAAGGGATATGATCCGCTGGAGTACAAAGAAGAAAGAGGCCCATTCCGTTCGAGCGGCTCCCGTCCACAGTCTTAATTGTGGAATTCGATTACTGTAATGGGGAGTTTGTTGTGAGCAAAGGCCAAATACCTCTATTTAATCGAATGAAAATAAATAATTGATGAAATAAAAATTGCTGTCGATTCCCAGGAATCACGGAGTTTTTGGTAGGGATCAAGGTTTGCTTTACCAATCCTTGGCTGAACTTCTTCCTTAACTATCGGTTTTGCTGTAGAGTTTAGAACACAAACAAATAAATAAAAGAATAAATAAGTAAATAAGCAATAAGTACTATTCATTACGTATTCTATTATATTCAAGTGACCTTAGAACCTCTACGATATATCGGAGGGGGTGATTTCCATCTACTAGCATCGTCCAGGCCGTGCTAGGGCAAAGTTTGTGTTTACTACTTACAATTAGGTGTGCCACATTTGGACAAATTTATCGATTATGAAGTTGTTCAACATTGAACGAGATAAAATCGATATTGGTTAAAGTTAAATGAATTACAATAAAATCAATCGGATAGTATCCATTGAGTTTGAAGTAATGTTTCGTTAAAAATGCGGAGGTTATCGGGGTCTAAAGGGATAAAGAACACGTTGCTCTACTAGATCGAGTTCGTCCGGGGCCGAATTTTAATTTTCTTTCTGTCGGGAAAATCTCGATAACCTTGTGAGCCATTGGCTCATTTTCGGGAAACGGCCGTTGAATCGGTTTCGTGTAATCGATTCGCCGCACGCGGCAGACGCGGACTAGTTGCCTCGTTATTGCATTTCCAACGTTCTTCCTACAGCTCGATCGATATGCGATTACTATTTTTGGCATGATCTTACTATTACTCTTTTTGTTCCTACTATAGTACTCGCTGCGATGCTTCTGCTTCCCTCCTTCGCGCGCGACGTCGCACTTGCTGGGGGAGCGGCAATTTTGATTCTGCTGCACCATACCCCATTTCCAATCGTGAAATACGCCTCGTAGACGGGAAAGCATGGCAGATATGAAAGAAAGAATCAATAGCTTCGTTTCATAAGGTATTTTGGATTCAAATCATGGGAGACAACGTGGCAAAATTGACAAAGGGCCTGTTTAAATATTTTGAATAACAAATCTTTGCCTTCTATGAAAGTTTTATGGCGTTTTTCGGGAATATCAATAAAGAACGACTTTGCATTAGGAAATGTGAATGCAAAAACATGATTTATTGACGCTTCTTCACAATCCATTGTTGCGGAGCACGTGTAGATGGAAGCAAAGGGGAAACAAAACGCCAAAGTTATTTGTTTAACTTCATGGTAAATATTTGCGTCCCATCACTGTGCAGGCTTTCTGTATTGTCCAGTAGTAAGTGAAAAATAATAGACAACCCTCCCTGATAAACTTCATATGGTTCCTTTGAGGGATCTGTCTTGGGAAAGCTTAGAAAGCTGGAAACGTTTACTCAAATTTCGTAAGGATTCCGTCTAAAAAACTCCTGGACAAAAGAGTTCGGCAAAGAATCTTTCTCTCTGGTCCAGAGAATTGGGAAAATCGAGCTTTATAAATCAGATCTTTCTTCATATTGCGCCACGCAATCGACTTTTCTTGTGATTGGCAAGGTTCATTTGACTTATTTTTCGACAATTTCATTAGTCTTAATTATTCAAACTGCTAACGGTTAAATTTTGTTTAACGGTTCTGAAAATTGCCCGAATGAGCTCAGATGAAACCATAAACGGCGAGTACTCTTCTATGAATGGACTCACCATTACCTATATCAGAGGGAAATGAAATATAGAGACTGAAGATGGAAATTTCCCTTCGCAATCCCATTAAGAGGGCGAATTTTTCCAAAATGATTTCTAAAAAGGCAAAGTTGAAACTATCTAGCTTCTTAATGATGGTCCGCAACCATGAGCTCCCGATCAATGCCTTTCCTAGACTGGGTCAGGAACCATCAAGATGAACAGGGTTTCCTTCTGTTCCTCGAAGCTCTAACCCAGGATAGTAACTTTCAGGAGTATCTTGAGTCGCTCTAATAATCTGAGGAAGTCGACTAATTCAAGGGTTCATGGAAAAAGTACTAAATATAAGGTTAAGGCTGTTGTGAGTGGCAGTCGCTGGATGCTTAAGTGAACTTGAAGTACAATCTTCCCATAAGCTTGGCCATTCCTTCCCGAGTTGCGTTAGAACACCTTTTCCCATAATGTTCAGTCACAAGAATGACTTCATGCTCATTTTCTTTACGTGCTCGTTACCACATAGAGTAGGAGGGATAATGTTAGCATCCCGAAAGACTCATACGGCAGTTCCTTCAGATTCCCTGCCTTCTTCATAGTGACCGACTCCTATAACTAGCTCCTCTACTCGTTCTAACTGAAGAGGCGTGCAGTCAGCTGACAAACAAACAACCTACTATTCATGCCCCTTGCATAAGCAATAATTGCCTATTATAGGCCGTCGAGTACATGGAATGAAGCTTATATAGTACGCATCTGACTAGGCCGTTGATCAACAAGGCCAGAGAGGGAGGAAGGTAATTCAACACTGGATAGGGGAAGGATTCTCTGAGTAGACCACTGAAAAGACCATTTCAACCTATGACCCATTTCATGGCTGGAATGCAAAGATGAATTTATTCTTCGAATCGGCTTCAAATTCCTGAGAGAACACATCAAAATGTTTAAATAAGAGAGGCTATCTGCATGGTACCACTATCTCAGCCTGCGTTTCCTACTTTTTTTTGAACTACGTAAAAAAATTAATTTTCAGCGACTACCAGTTTCAATTTCTACTGTTTTTCAAATTTTCAAGAATTCAAGTGTTTTGTTAAAAAAAAACCTATACCATTGTCATCCATGAAATCGCTCGGCTGGAACTTTAAATTGTCTGATGTCCAACGATTTCAGGCGTCTGTGGACAATCGTCTATGGCCAGTACGGCCGGTGTATTTCCTAGCAGGAGCAGCCACGGTTGGTGCCATACAAGTGAAATTGACACCTGAACTGTTGTCCGGCTATGTTCCCGTCTTCACTAATAAATTCGTCGAGGTCAATTTTACTTTGTTCTGTTTTGCAATAACAAAAATATTTAGCAGAAAAATGTAGAAAAGTCGTGGTACTATCTTAGGCCTTCAACCGTAGGACTCGAAAGTGAGTAATTGAACAAGGTTTCGTGGCGTGTCACCCGTTTTTCTTCGGTCTGTACAGAGCTGATATCTTTCAAAGGCTTCTATCCGATGACAGGGAAAGGGGCATGGTTGGGGCTTGCCGTTGAGTGATTTCTCACATTCAGAGAAAATAAAGGGTCATTGGGGAAGGACAAAAAGGCAAGGCTGTTCGGCTTATGGCATTGATCAACCTCGGGCCAGGATGAGCCCATGATCCAATCTTCATCAGAAACTGCACCAGTTTGAAGGCACATACATATAATCTATACAATACTGACTAGACAGGACGAGGCTAACACTGTCGGGCGGGCGAATGGGGTATAGATGCCGAGGAATCCCCGAGGAATTCTATTGTATAACTTTCAACTTTCATTTCTTCATTCCAGTGGACCAAAGTATGTGCCGTATCACTGGCGACTGCTTATGTTCCCGTATTCTTATTGCGACAATTCCTGAAACATTTCTACTTTTCTTACAAAGGTTTTCTATTCGACGATCCCAAAAAGCCCTCGCTGGTCACTCGTTTCTGGGGTGTAAGTTACTGAAAATGTCTTTTCCCGCTACCGCCCTCAATCCTACCATTTCTTCTGTTTAGCTTTGTCGTCAATTACTGGCGGTGTCTCCTCCTCTTCTGAAGTCATGCGAACATCTTCTACCCTGTCTTCCGTTACCGAATCTAGAAGACACTGTAACCAGATATCTGAAATCGATGAAGGGAATTCTTAGAAGGGTGAGGTACAGTAACGATGTCGATTCTCCTTTTATGGGTCTCGGAATGGATTCTGTGTGGTTTTCATGTTTAAGGACGAGTACGATTCGTTAAAAGAACAGGCAGACCTATTTCTGGCAAACGAAGGTCCTCGTCTGCAGCGGTACGCCTGGATTATGTCCCTGACGACGTCTAACTATGTGACTCCCTTCTGGGAGAAGTACGCCTATTTGTATAGCAGGTATGAATTACTCTCTATATGTGCTTTATGAACTTCTGTCCTCCATGTTCTATCGGATAGTACAACAGAAACGCCAATCAATCAAGTATTCCCTGTCATTTACATGAATTATTAATAAGTTCAAACGGAAGTGGAGTAATTTTTGACCGAAACTTTGAGGGGTGGGCAGAAAATCTTCGATGTCTCCTTTTTTCAGGCAGTCCGTCCTGGTGAACAGCAGTGTCGCCCACACGGATTTCCTGGAAGTCCCGGAGCATCGGAAGGCAACGTGGGCTTACATGGCTGCTCGGGTTACGTATTTCGAAGGAATGTCCCACCTAGCTGTGGATAGACAAACAATCAAGCCGGTGACTTTTTTTGTGTCAAAAGCCAACCTAATTCCCTTCCTACACTTTAATTTTTTATTTATTTATATACTCTACTTATGTTTCATTTAGTGAATTTGTATTTCCTTTTATCATTGTCTCGGGCGGACGTGGTGTGGTGGCAAGTAGCGCGCTATCTCACACAGTCACGGGTTTCAACCTCAGATCGATATCAGCCTAGGCCAACCGAACCTTTCATTCCTCCGGAGACCGTTGATTGGTACCAGACTCGTCTGGAAAGCCCTAAAAGCCCTGACTTGTACCTCGGCTGGCTCCCGCAAGTTCCGCCACTTCGAGTCTGAGTGGAAGTCGAATGCGTGGGTACATCCCTCAGACGAAATTGATTACTGCCCCATTACTTGATCCTTTTTTATTAGGGCCGATAAATGTTACGGTCAAGGTGAGCTGACCCTGGGTCCTTCGATTCGATGCCATTACTAGCATCCGGGAGTCGGTGATCACGTTCATGGCAGGACACAAACCGTTCCTACAGCAAATGAACAAAGCCAGTCTCGACTTCCCTATCCGAGGCTAATATGTTCAGTTGGCCTTTTCTTGGGTTTTCGAGAGACATTTGTTGGATATTTGAGAAAACTGGAAAAACCAGTCTTAAATACTGTACATGTGAAAAAGGTAGTAGAAGAGGCTCTCAAATTTTACCATTTTTGCTTATTTTCGAGATTTTCCTATTTATCCCACAAAATATACTTACAACTTTGAAAATTTTCCGTATTTAGCTTGGATCGGGTCTAGTCTGCTCATGTCACTACGACAAACTGTACAGTGTATGTCGCGTTCCTGGGGAAGAAGTCGACAAATTAGTCAATTACGGTATGTCCTTTACAAGTGGTTCAGGACCAATTTTCGTATGAATTCATTGAAAATAGCTTACAGGAATCTCGAAACATATTGTGGCTATTTATGGTGGTTGTTTCTACAAAGTGATGTTATGTGATGAAAAAAATCGAATGTATAGTATTGATCAATTATCGAAGTCAGTTCAATCTCCTTCCTCTTCAACGTTTTTGAATTTTTTTTTCTCGATTTTTTTTACCTTTAGTACTCGGTCATCAGTTTCTACCAATTACTAGTTAGCTATTGAAGTTTGCTTTCCTTGTTATTTGCTAAGATTGCTGAAATTATTCATTGATCATTACCCTTACCGAAGGTTTACCTGCCTGTCATCCATGGGTTTCAGGATTTATGCAGAAATTTTCTCACGAAATGAGAAACTTACTGGATCCGCTAGCAGAGTGGCCGCACTTACAGCTGATCGCAGGTGAGTTCATGAAAATCATCACCGTAATCAGAACCTACCGCCACGGTTACACTTAATGATCGTCTACCCTTCCCTCTACCTCATCCTCTGTTTCTAATTTGAGAAGGATATTCCTTCCTTCTCAAATTAGAAACAGAGGATGAGGTAGAGGGAAGGGTAGACGATTATACGAAAGACCTTCTCATCTGGGATCAGGTCTAGTTTGGGAAACTCAGTTTCTCTCTCTCGGGTGGGAACCACAAATTTTACTAAAAAATTCCAAAACTCTCATGAACCGGAGTGCAAATCTCGCAATTCCCGAAAGGAAAAATCTTTTTTACCACTTTTCGGATAGTGTAGCCAAGCCGACTCTATTTCTGGTTGAAATACTCGTTTGCACGTCTTGGTAGAAGGGGCTTCAAGCCTTTCAATGTGGAACCTCTGCTTTTGAGTAAGCCGCGCATTATTTGATAACCACTAACAGTCGTGGGAGATTCACCTGCCTGCATACATGGCGACTCGAGAATTGAACTCTTCCAGCTAAATATAGCAACTGCGCCTTTTCACATTACTCCATCTCCATCATGCAATGCTAATATCAGCTTCCGGCAGTGGAAATACAGGGTGATTCTCGAAAATTCTTATAGATTCAATTCCCACTTTCAGAGACGAATGGGCTCGAAACAGAGAGAAATTCTTTCTGAGGAACCCGAAAAATGCAGCAACACTGCACGAAATTGAAACTGCTGCTTTCATGATAGTACTGGACGATGGCGAGTACTTCAACGATCCCGTTAGTTGCCTTAATTGCTTCAGAAAACTGGGATCAATTCAAAAGCGATGTGATTTCAGAAGGATCCCGACACGATGTCGCATTTTTTGAAAAATATGCTCGCTGGTAATGGAGCAAATCGTTGGGCTGACAAGTCATTGAATTACGTGATTGGAAGGAATTCACGGGTACGTTCCATTGTGGCTCCATCCGTAGTTATGATTTTGACCTCGGTCTTGTCTATCAGAACAAGTTTCTCTCATACTATTTGGATAGAGAGCTCAGCTTCACAGTAGTCATGACCCTAGCTGTCAAAGCGTTGCTGTTTTAAACAGAGCCATTTGGATTGAGCTCAATTTCACCTGCACCACCACCTGTATCACTTGTCGTCGCGTTGATCTTAGATTCCCTCGAGTACGCCACCACACAACATTCTTCCCTATCGTCGACCAATATAGTCCGATAGACCTTCCTCGCTCGAGAGACCCGAGGCATACCATGTTTCCCATTCAGAGGTTCTCGTAAAGAAGTTTCCACGGGGTGGCTTCTGTGTTTGGGTTCGTTTGCTCCGAGGAATCCAGTCAGTTACCTCCTTGGTCTAGCAATCATCGCAAACTCACATGATGTGTCGGCCCTACCGATTTCCATATCCATGGCGGGTGAGCAGCATCCCTGATCTCCCTTCATTCCGACTCCTTTTCCTTCCTTCGAGGTTTTCCTACATTAGCGTTTTGTGTACATTCTGTGTAATTTACGTAAATTTAGTGTGGTGGAACAACTGAACATTCGATTGCAGATGGAGCAGAGTTCGATCACATCATGGAAAACTTCTCTGCATTCGAGTTCCTTACACCGTTAGTGCCGAACTTATTTGGCAGTACAGGGATATCCACAAACTTTTTCCAATTTCCAGATATCCAACTCTGGAAGAACAAAAGCAGATAGAGAAAATAACTGAGAAGGACCGAGACGTTACATTGGCAATACGTCTACCTGTTGAAGTCACCGATGAGGTAAGATGGATGCCGACTACTGACATGGCATGTATGGCATGCCTGGTTGACTGATTGAAATAAATTGAATTTTAGCATAGGATACGTTTTACAATAGCAATTTAAAGGCACAGTTCACATCAATTTTGGGGTATCCGGTTTTTTGGCGAAATTTGACAAAAAATGTTAGATACGGCTTACAATAGTACAATAGTAAAAGAGAAAACGCGAAAAAAGATGAATATATAGAAATA